GCCGACGGGGTCGGTGGTGTTTTGATCATGAGAAGCGATGAGGGTCATTCCTTGATCAAAGATGTACTATAAATTCCTGGAATTAAATATAATCTCTTTAGTATTGGCCAATTACTTGAGAAGAATTGCATGATTCTCATGGAAAACAAGATTTTACGCCTTTTGGATAGAAATAGGGTTTTAGTCCTTAAAGCACCAATGGTTGTCAATCGAACTTTCAAGATAGAGATGAAAGTGATGGAGCACATGTGTCTTGATACAATGTGAAGTCGTGAAGTGTCGTTGTGGCACTACCGTCTTAGAGATCTAAATTTTCGAGACCTCGACACGTTACAAAGGAATGGTATGTTAATCGGGTTGTCGAAAATCAATGTTCCAGCTGAGATGTGTGAAGAATGTGTTGAAAGAAAGCAACACAAGATTAGTTTCAGTAAGGATGCATGTCATAGGACTAAACATCACATTGAGGTGGTGTACTCCGACGTGTGTGGCCCAATGCAAGTCGACTCGTATGGTGGCAATATGTACTTTGTCAGACTTATCGTTGATTTTAGTAGGATACTATAGACATGCCTAATCAAGAGGAAGGATGAGGTATTTGATGTATTTAAGAAGTTCAAGTCGATGGTTGAGCGGCAAAACAAACTCGAAATTCTCAAAATGGATGGTGGAGGCGAGTATACCTTGAATAAGTTTGAGAATTATTGTGATGAGGAGGGTATATTGCGTGAGGTTATACCCCCATATATGCCTCAACAGAATAATGTTGCATAGAGGAAAAAACGTTCGATAATGAACATGGTTCGTAGCATGTTGAAGGGAAAAGGTTGGCCTAAGAAACTATGGGGAGAAGTCGTTTCTACAGCTTCCTATTTGTTGAATAGGTGCCCTACAAAGAAGCTAGATAAAGTGACTCCAGAAGAGGTATGGTCTGGATTTAAACCAAGATTGAGTCATTTGAAAGTTTTCGATTCGGTAGCATTTTGACATATTTCGGGTCAACTTCGAAAGAAGTTGGATGACAAGGGTGAAATAATGTTGCTTGTTGGTTATCACTTTATCAGAGGTTACAAGTTGTTTGATGTGAAAAGAAAGAAGATTGTAATAAGTCGAGATGTGGTCGCGGATGAGGTAAGGTTGTTTGACAGTAGAAAATTGGGCATGACAGGTGTGGAATTCAATTTCCAAGATGAGGGAAATCGATTTCTGTCGCGATTTTTAAATTTTGAGGCTTCTGGGATTGTTTCTGCAGAAGGGGAAATCAATATCCCACATCCTGAAATCGATTTTCAGCAGGAAAATGCAGAAAACCAGAATTCTGCAGGTTCTTGACAGCAACCGGTTTTAGCCAAAAGCAGAGAAAATAGTAGGAGATCAACTAGGAAAAGGAGATTGCCTCAGAGGCTCCAATATTATGAATTATTCCATGATAATGAGATAAATGATTATGGTGATCTCATTCATTTTGCGCGTATGGTCGAATTTGATCCTGTTAGCACGGAAGAGGCATTAAGTGATCCAAAGTGGGTGTGTATGATGAAAGAGAAGCTGGAATCGATTGAGAAAAATAATACTTGAGAGTTGGTTGATCTACCAGAATAAAATAAGCCAATCGAAATAAAGTGAAGGAAAATACAAAAGGAGAAATTGTCAAGCATAAGGCTTAACTAGTCGCGAAGGAATTTTTGCAAAGAGAAGGTATAGACTTTGATGAGGTGTTTGCACCTCTAGCTAGAATAGAAACCATATGGATCGTTGTTTCTATTGTGAATAACAACAATTGGTCGATTTATCATATGGATGTGAAATCCGCGTTTTTGAATAGTCCCCTTGAGGAGGAAGTTTATGTAGAACAACCCCCTAATTTTGTTGTGATAAATCAAGAGGAAAGGGTAATATTGAAGAAAGTACTTTATGGTTTGAAACAAGCCACTCTTAGAAAATTTGCTTTTAGTGACTGAAAAAGCTTAATAATCAGTCACTAAATCGTTTAGTGACCATTAGCGACCATCACTTTTCGATTGAAAAAAGGCTAGCCACTAAGCTTTTGTGACGAATTTAGTGACCGAAATTTAGTGACCGATTTTGTGATTGAATTTAGTGAGCGATTTTAATAACCTATTTTTGTGTCTTTTTGTAAAATAAAAATTAAACTAGTCAATCATTAGAATTGAACTCATGACCTTTGTGGATTTTAACAAAGCCTTACCACTAGACCACTTAATATATATTATTTTATTATATGTTTAAATAAAAGTTAAAAAATCAATATATAAATTTGGTTTTGTTATGCAATTTTGTTATGCACATATAAAAACTTTATAATAAAAATAAAATTCACTTTGATACAAATATAAATATAAAATGACATTATTTTTATATAAATATATATTTTATTGTAAAAAGAGTAAAAAGATAATCTTTTTACTAAAAATTAAAAGAGAATTATAATTTTAAAAAAAATTAGAAGATAAATAGTAACATAATAAAGAGGATTAAAAATAGGAAAAAAAAACAAAAAGAAATATTAGTGTCCAAAATTATGGTGTATGATTTTTTAATATAAATTAAATTTTATTTAAAAACATTTTTTCGTGACCGAATAGATGGTCACAAAATTTTGGTCGCTAAATTGGTGACTAATTTATTTTAGTGACCGATTTAGTGACCAATTTAAAGTTGACTCATAAATATCAAACTTTGGTGGCTGATCCAGTCACTACGGTGACCGAAATATTTCAGTCGCTAAATTGGTCACTAAAAGCGAATTTTCTAATAGTAAGCTCCTAGGACTTGGAACAAACGCATTGATGGTTTCCTAGTTAATGTTGGCATCAAGAAATGTGTTTTCGAACATGGTGTCTATGTGAAGACGGATGCGAGCAAAAATGTGATCATACTTTGCTTATATGTAGACGATTTATTGATCATGTGCAGCAATGAAGTGAGTATTTATAAGTTCAAGGGTGAACTTATGGAAGAATTTGAAATGAGTGACCTTGGAATCATGACTTACTTTCTTGACATAGAGTTCCACAAGTCAAAATTGGGACTGCTCATGCATCAAAGAAAGTATGCTCTTGAGATTTCTAAAAAGTATGATATGAAGTATTGTAATGCTGTCAATACACTTGTTGAAGCAAGGTTGCAGTTGTCCAAAAGTGATGATGAGAAAAACATGGATCCAACGCAATATAAGAGATTGATTGGATCGTTATGTTACTTGTGCAATACGCAGCCAGATTTCCCATTTAGTGTCATTATTGCGAGTAGATTTATAGAGAGACCAAAGGTGTCTCATTTTTCAGTAGTTAAGACGATCCTAAGATATGTCAAAGGAACTCTTGATTGCAGAATTCTCTTTCTCGCAAATGATACGGGCAGAAAGTGTGATTTACTCGGTTACACGAGTTTTAATTGGTGCGGAGATAAGGACGATTGAAAGTCTACGACTGGTTATGTCTTAATGTTCGGAGGAGCACCAATCTCTTGGTGTTCTAAAAAGAAATCTGTGGTGGAACTCTCTTCTTTTGAGGCCGGGTATATCGTTGCTTCGTTGTGTGCGTGTTAGGTTGTATGGCTTATGAATCTGCTGGAAGAGATGGACAACAAGGTTGAAGAAGTTGTCACACTCTTGGTTGATAATGTTTCATCCATTAACCTTGCTAAGAATCCCATTGCACATGGGAGGGGCAAATATATTGAGATAAAGTTTCATTACTTGAGGGATCTGGTGTGTGCAGGCCATGTGAGATTAGGATATTGTCGAAGCGAAGAACAAGTTGTGGATTTGTTAACGAAAAGGGTAACAAATATGGTGTTCAAGAAGCTTGTGATAAGTTTGGGCATGAAGAACTTGGAGCATTTGAATTTAGGTGGTGTATTGGAAGTCTTTAATAACTTAAATGTATTGTGGAAGCTTCTAGGATCGTTTCGCTGAAAACAGCTTATAAAAAAAGTACTTCTGAAAAACTGAAAAAACCAAGTTTCAAAGGGGAAATCGATTTTCCAGAATGTGGAAATCGATTTCCACAATTTTCCAGCTTTCTATTTTTGTTTTGTTTTTAGTTGGGAAAATCGATTTCCGTCTCGTATGTTTGTTTTTTTGAAGTGTTTTCTGGGCTAGTTTAGTTCAAATTTGTAATTTTTGTATCCTATAAATACTCCCTCATGTAATGTTGTTTAATTAATGCTATTTTTATCATTTCTTCTCAATTTTACTCAATTATTCTTTCTCTCTCTCTCTCAATATCTCCAAATTCACTTTATCTTTTTCAATTATCCACATTTCACCGTTGATTCACCCTTGGAGCCTTATACTTGTTCTAACAAAACCTTATTTGATGGGCAAGAAGATGTAACTGTTGTAACGAATATAAATGGTCATAATAGTATGCATAAGGTATATCTCACTGTCAACTCCCAAACAAGCGAGGAACAAGACATTGAAAAGCATTAACTTTGTAACGGATAAATCATATTATTTTAAATTTTGAAAATTTACAAAATAACGTTTATAATAGCACAACGCCATAATAAAATATTATATTATTCATGTGTTTTATAATTTACAAACTAATATTATTATTATAAACCATAAATCAAACTCAAAAAACGAAATTGCACATATAATATAATTTTATACTTTCAAAAATACTCTCAACTTCAACCTTCAATAAAACAATTGCAATGGATTATAATACATGCAAGCTTTTCTTATACACATTGAACTATCTCAAAGTAGCCTAATGAAACAGTCTCAAGCCAAACTCTCCCCAAGCATAATATGTGCACTTTAATGGCAACTTGAACCTACATTTAGTGAACAAATGAAAAACTATTAGACTAATAAAGAAATTTACTTATTAATGGAAATGTGTAATAAGTGTTATCATATAAAATTCAAAATTTATAACCGTCAAACCATAATGTTGTATTTCATGACATAAAATAAGAACACATAAAAGAGTGAGATAGATGATTAATACCTTATTACTCGATTATTTTTTGTCATTGTGCCACACTATGTCATCTAACCCCGATGAAAATATTTTGTAGAACTGCATTTAAATGAATGAATAAGTTTGGTTTTAGTACCAATCAACATCGTAAGAACTGAAAAAAAGAGCGATGCCAAACACCTAAAAAGAAATAAATTGAGAATCAAAATAATTTTCACATACTTTGTTAAACTCAAGTGTGTCGCCACCCGTCTTTCGCAACTCCACCATATGTAGGGAGGGTGCCACTTCAAAAACCTGTAACCATAGCCAACAAGTTGTATAGATCAGTTTGCGTCGAAGCAAACAAATGCGAAGAAACAATTGAAAATGTATTGCAACCATAATATAGGAAGGAATGAATCAGTACCTCAGTAGCCACTGAAAGGTGGCCTTTCCTTCCACTTTTATCACCTTGCAGCTTCATCTGCATAATTCAAATGTAGATAAGAACATGTACTATATAACACTAAGAATTTTAAAAAATGTAGAGATTAACCACAATAATGAATGGATTTCATCGTTTAATATATTAAAATTTATAGAAATAGAAGACAAACAGACAACAAATTACACTGCTATTGCTTTTATGGTTAATATGTTACCTTGTAATTTCGCTTGTGAACATTAAATCCGAGAGGTTTTGCAGCCTCCTCAATCTTAGACATGATTTCATTTGCAGGACGTTGTGAAGTGAAATGAGTTTCGCGCTTTACAACTCCCTATGAGGTTTATGAGTGGGAAAAAAAATAGAGAAACAATCATAATTAGTATAAGCATCAATATTATGTCGACTAACCACAATGTTGAAATAAAAGTATATATTAATTTTCACACACCTTTTGCTTCTCGAATAAATTGTCAAGATTGAAGCTTTCTGATCTAGAAATAAGCTCGAAAGCATTCATGGACACGGGTTTCTCTTTCGTCTCTGTTACAAGATTTTCCTACATGCCAAAGTAAAGAATTCCTTATTAGATGCATCCAAGGTTTCAAATCATTGTCGCAATCACATTGCGATACTTAATATTTAGAACAATGCAGTATAGATACTGGTTTTAAATGGTCGTTACCTTTGAATTGTTGAAAGCAGCAGCAACATCATCTACATTGACATCTTCCTCGGTAAAAGATGCTGGCTTGTATCCTTTTTTGAACCATTCATCTTTCAAGAGTTCTGGAATTTTTATCCTCTGCGTAAAACAAACTTAGAGGCTAATTAGCAATACATTCTTTAAGAATTACACAAGAAAGAGAATCAAACAAGTAAGAAAGCTTTCGACTAAAACTCACTGTGAGAGGGTTTGGATTAAGTATAGCCTTGAGCAGTTTCTTTGCCTCGGGCGAAAACCACGGCGGACATGTGAACTCAGCCCTACCAATCTGAAATATGTGTGATGTTTTTCATCTCAAAAACCATAAATTTAATTATTCTTTTTTATTACATTATGAAATCACTCACTTTTCTATAAAGTGCAATTTGATTCGGCTCGTCGAACGGCAAGTACCCGGCCATAAGTACAAAGAGAATAACTCCACAGGACCATATATCAGATGTAGAACCAACATAACCTCTATCATTAATCACCTGATACAAAAGGACACACCAAATAACATTCTTTTTAGTTTGAGAAAACAAAACTAGTCTTACATTTGATCAACAAAGTGATAGTAGTATTATGATCACCTCAGGTGCAACGTAATTCGGTGTTCCACAAGCCGTGCGGAGAAGCTCACCCTCCTGCAATAAATATTTGAGAAAGTTCATGCAAATGTAATTCGCGGATAATTGAATTGAACAAATATGTCAAACCAATCAGAAACCATTTTCGTTACATAAAATGCTTGTATGGGGGTATAATCATACCTGTTGCGAATATGTACTTAATCCAAAATCTGAAACTTTAAGAACACCATTTGTGTCCAACATAAGATTCTCCGGCTGCAAAATACCGTGAATATATATAAGCATTTTCTTTAATTTAACTCCAAAAAAAAGTAGAAAAGAGGGTTAAGGAACCTTCAAATCTCTGTGATAGACTCCTCTACTATGGCAGTAATCAACCGCATTGATTAGTTGTTGGAAATAACTTCTTGCTTCATCCTCTTTAAGTCTCCCATTTGTAGCCTACAAAATTAAATTACCAAGCAACTTAGAAAATTCTTGAGGCCTAGTCATTTAGATTCATAATCCAAGAAAAACATCAAGAACAATGAGTTATGAAGCAAACGTAGACACATAACTAGACACGAAACTAACACGCATAGAAAATTTAAATATATATTGATATTGGTGTTGCGATGCTCTCTGACGACACTGATGCATGTTAGACACTAGACACGACTTAAATCTAGAAGTAGTAGAAAGAAATATATAAGGTAATATGAAATAAATGAAACACTTACAATTTTATCAAATAGTTCTCCTCCACTAACCAATTCCAAGACAATGTAAATCTTTGTTTTGCTTGCCATTACCTGTAGTTAAACAGACAACAATTCAAGGAGATTAGTGTCATGTAACTCAACTCCAATCTTGGAAAAAATTAACATTGTTTTTGAAACTTTAGAAGAAAAATAATCAGACAACATCATGGCACGTACCTCAAATATTTTGACAACGTTTGGATGATTAATCATCTTCATCGCTGAAATTTCTCTTTTCAACTGCAAAATTCAAATACAATAACAAAATTACAAAACAAAACAAAAAACAAAGATTAACGATTGACACCAAAAAACACATACCTGATCCATCATATTATGTCGAAGCACATGATTACGATCAAGAATCTTGATAGCAACATAATCACCATTCTCAACATTCTTCGCCAATTTCACCTTCGCAAAGCTTCCTTCTCCAATCGTCTTCCCTAACTGATACTTCCCAACTCGAGTACGAGGTAACGGTACCTTATTACTCATCATAAAAAACTCTTCAAATTCCCACAAAAATTAAGGTGCAAAACAAACCTTAATTTTCACCTCAGTTTCCTAAACTCCTACTTGACACAGGTTTAAGGTTATGTTCTACACTTCTATTATCTTTTACGTATGTGATACTGTTTTAATGTAGTGAATGTCGACGAATGAGGATAGAGAAAGAGATATAGATAGGGTACGTGTTCGAAACGTGTGGGGACAAGGCACGAGGAAGATGAAGAACAAGACAAAAAAACATACGTAGTACCAAACTAAAACATGTGTTCTTTGGCCCAGAATGTTTTATATTATGATAGCTTTTACAGTTTTTGCTTTCATCACTGGTTTCCGCGAAACTTCCTATGAAAATCAATTTATGTTTTTTTATGTAAACATTTACCTTAACTAGGTGCATGCAATTGTATCCACACAAAAAAGAAACCTGGGTGCATGGAAATGGTAAGAACGTTAAAATACCGCGTTTTATTTACTTTTTTTTGAAAGAGATATGTGTAATAAATTTAATTTAAAGAATGGAGAATAAAAAGGTCAAATGTTTTTAATTTTTAGTGTATGTTTTAAAGTAATTAATTATATTTGATTGTGAGAAAATGGATGGTGTACCGTTAGAGTGTAAATTATTTTCGTTAAATTAAATTGTAAATTTTAAATTATTAATATAATTTAATATTTTAAAATATTTTGATTGAACGTCATTATAATACTTTTTTATACTGATAGTATACTATTATTAAATTATTTGATTTTTGGATTCTTTTGTTTATTTTAACTAATATTTTTATCATGTGCGATGAATAGATAAATAATATATATAAAAAAGAAATTTAAGATTTTTATTAATTGAATAGTTGAAGTATATAGAAATTAGTAGTGGAGTTATGAACTGAAATAATTAATATTAAATATTAATTAATATATTGAATAATATTTATTAAAAAGAGAAAAAAAATAATGTGATTAAATAAAATTTTCTTCAAAATTTAGTATCTAAATATATTCTGTTTTAATATATTAAAGATAATTTAAAATAATACTAATAGAGATAGATTATTAATAAAATTTAATGATACTATCCTGTCAGTTCAGTTAAAATATTTTAAAATATTAAATCATATAAATAATTTAAAATTTACAATTTAACTTATTCAAATATATAATTGTTATTGATTATAAATATAAAAATAATTTACGCTCTTGATGCAACATCGATTTTTTTTAATAGATTGATTCAAATGATAAAAAATTTAAATTGTATATACAAGTGATCGACATATAAAATTGATACAAATAGCTATCACGCACATTTTAATATTTTTTTATATATTTTATATCGGTCTTCAAAATATATGATTTCATATAAATGTAGTTTTGACCACATAAAGTTAAATTAATATAAATAAGTACTTTGCTGTTTTATCGGTACTTTTCGGTTTTGTTTAAGAATTTGGAGGAGAAAGAAGGTGAAGATTTTAAAAAATAAGAAGAATCGAATGAAAAAATAAAAAGATTTTGGTTGGGAGAATTTTAAAAGATTTGTGTTTTTTTATAATATCAAAATTCTTTTTAATTTGAGAAAATTCAAAAATTTTGGATAAAGATTTTGATTTTTTTTAATTTTCACCATTGATATAATCTAGTTTGAGGTCATTTATGGGATTAAATGATCCTAAACTTTTATCAAATCCAACATTAATTATCACTAAATAAACTAAATATTGATGAAATGAATATATTTAAAAATAAAAAACTATGGTTTTCAAGTGGTTTTTGTAGGGGTGTATAAAATCAAACTGATCCGATAGAAAATCGCAAAATCAAATCGAACCAAATCGAAACCGTAAAAAATCGTATTTGGTTCGGATGTGTTTTGATCATTTTTTCACGAAACTGCGCAGTTCGGTTCGGTTTGCGATTTGTATTTTACAAATCGAACAAAACCAAACCAAACCGCATTATGTTATAAAATCTTACTAACTAAAATATATTTCTTTAATTCTTTAGAGAAATCAACATGTATTATGTGTATATTTTATCATACTTTGTATTATATTTATTTTAATTTACAAATCATAAAAAAGTAAAATATTATTCATTTATAAATATTATTTTCACAAAATATATTTTATTGTATTCTTTGTATAATATTTATTTAAGAATGCAATCTTGTCTATATCATTCTTTAGATTTAGATAAAATAATAATATGTAATTTTATGTATCAAATTATAAATTTATTTTGACAATTATAAAATTTTTTATGATAATGTATGAACAATTAAACACAAAATTATATTTTCTTCTATATTTGTATATATAGTTTAATAAATTTTTTTTTTAAATCGAACCAACTGAACCAATTCAAATCGTATTAGTTTGATTTGGTTTGATTCGGATTTATTTTTAAAAGTCAACTGAACCAAACCGATTTTTTTTTTCAAAATCGCCCAAACTGCACCGCGAACACCCTTAAATTTTTGACTCCATTTAAGGAATAAAAAAAAGATTATTTTGGAACATTTAACACTTTAACCGCACGAATTAACGTGTACTTCTACTATATTTTTTATGCAAATAAAAAAATAGTTAACAAAACTAATAGACATTAATAATGTACTGAAAGTTGAAAGGGTGGATCACAATAATAAAACTAATATGAGGGACAAAGAAATGACAACCATAATAAATTATAAACAAAATTAATAGATACAAGATAATTTGAGATAATTTTAGTAAATTCACATAAACAAGAAGAATAAGACAAAGTGACGACTACACAAAAATATTAATAAATTCACATGAGTTAGAAAACTAAGATAAAGTAACAAATATACAAAGAATTTGTTTATTCAATTCAACTAAAGTGGTTTATTTTAGGAAAAGAGCGGTTCTTCAATTTATTTACTACAAGAGATTATAAAAGAGTTATAAAAAAATAGTTTTCAAAATTCGACTACAATAAATAATGTTTTTCATGACAAAGATTACACCTCGAACAATGAAAAAACGAGAGTATAGATCTTGAGAGTGATATGTTGTATTAATTTTTTTTAAATAAAAACCATTAGACCTCGGTTATTTATTATAACCGAGGTAAGTTATCAATAAGGTAGCTCGCTTCGATAGGTCCTGCATTTTATGTTTTTTTTTTCAACCGAGATAAACTATCAATATGTCATGCATTTTATGTTTTTTTTTTCAATTGATAGTAGCCATTTCTCACTTGGCGCCTTTCTAATTTTCATTTTTATTTTTTCTATTTGTTTCATTAGTATTTACCTCGACTACACGATCCAACTGAGACGTAATATATTTTACATTAACATTTTCATAATACTAATTTTAAAATATTATTTTAATACTTTATTTGATAAATTTTAACCCCTCGATTTTCTTAAATATCCGACGTGATATATCTTTTAAATGAACTCCGGAATATGGCGCTATGAAGTTATTTTTATAATTTTATATTTTTAATAACACTACCACGTCGACTTTTGTGTAAAACCGAAATAACACTTATTTTGCATTAGATACTTCATAGAACTGTCTAGCTAGTTTCTAACTTTTCATTTACCCTATCAACACCCAAACGTCAGTTCATCACTCTCATTTCGCAAAAAACCTAGGCGATATTCATCAAAATTCTTCCAAAAGATATTCATCAAACGTCATTTTTGCAACAGTTTTGTTCTTCACTGAATCGTTAGTTTGTGTATTCATCAATGTTAGTTTTTCACTTTGTCTATTGATCATTTTGTTTAGGGTTTCTTCGTTACTTTGTCTATTGATCATTTTGTTTAGGGTTTCTTCGTTACTTTGTCTATTGATCATTTTGTTTCTATAATTTTCCATTTGTATATTCATCAACGTTAGTTTTTCACTTTGTCTATTCATCTTGATAGTCGTGGTCGATTCGACAAGCACCTCTCATACAACATCTGCTGCAAACTCTGTTAATACACAAAGTCGTAAAAGAAAAACTAGAGGTGCCACAATGTATACAAGGGTGAAAAAAGTCAACGAATCTGGTATTCGACACCCGATTAGAGTTGATGCAGAAACCGACAAAGGTTGAAGGTGAAAAAGCTGATGATTTTTTAGGTTACATTGTGTTACAAGGTAGAAGTAAAGTGAGTATTTTGATAAATAGTTGGCATGACATTGACGATGAATTAAAAATCGTCATATGATATGATATTAAAGTATTTATCTTGTATCCTATCATTTGTTTTATAAGTATATTTTTTGTGCAATACAAATAACACATCTATTATATAAATATAGGATCACTTCATTGTTACTCCAGATAATGACTATGTGAAAAAGAAAATGCTTATTTATTGTGGTGAACGTTGGAGGGGGTTTAAGACACAACTCACCCATGATTATATTAAACATGGAGAAGATAAAGAAAAACCTCCATACGAGGTATATTCATTTTATGATAAAGCTACTTGGGAGAAATTTGTAGAGTCTCGCAAAACTCCTGAATTCTTGGCAAAGAGCCAAAAAGGAAAGGAAAACCGAGTTAGAAATATCTGTCCACATAGGTTGTCTCATGGAGGATATCAAAGAATTGGAAAAAAAATTATGGACGAAAAAAAGAAAAAAAAAGGAAAAAGAGCTGGAAGATTGTATAAGTCTTGATCGAAGTCCATCTCCACCATCACGCCACGATAAATGGAAGAGGGCACGCCAAAGAAAAGACGACGAGTACACATCATAAGCTACGCGCGAAGTGGATCAAAGGATTGTAAGTAGATACTTTTTTCAAGAATACTTATTTTAGTTAAATCAATTTGGTAAAGATAAAATTAAATATATTGTAGGATGATCTTGTAGAACAAACCAAAGTCGGCCTCTTCACTTCACAAGGTCGTCATGACATCTTGGTAGAAGCGATTGGAATAGAGGAACATCCTGGGCATGTCTGTGGTCTTGGTAGAGGCATTAGCTTCAAGGCATATTTTGGACGTTGTCAATCAT